TGTGATATTCTGTTATCGCAGCCCTATCAAACAAATATAAAATCACGAATCTTAAATACTTTCAAACACTGTGGTCACATAGCTAATTTTTCTCAATACCCGTTTCCCTTTTCCCTTATTAATAGAACTCAGTTTTCTTGTTTGTTTTGATTTTTGGAGAGTATAGCAACGTGCCCAGCACTACGTGATGGGCCATGATTGGTTTAAGCCAATTCTGAAAACCCTATTCCTGATCCCACAGCATTTTAGCAAGTGGGGTTGACCACGTGACACATTTCTGGGCAGAGAGATCAAGAGAAGTGTGCAGTGGGGCTTCTGAGAAAGGTTTTGCTTTCTTGATATAAAAAGATGGCAGTGTACATATGCCCTCACCCCTTATTCTGCCTTATGCTTCAGATACAGATGTCATGTGGTACCTATCTTTGCAAAGCTCAGGCTTTACATTCTGCTAGGTAAGCAATTTTAGTGCATCCGAGGGCCTCTTGTCCAATAGTTTTGACATATGCCCTTGGAATCAGTCTCACTGGCCTAGCTTAGGTAACGTGCACTTAATAAAACCAATCATGAGGACCAGAGGAATGAAATACTCTGATTGACCCACTGGAGCAGTATTCTGACCCTTAGACTGTGATGTTCATGTCAGCCTTAGCCAAACCTCGTGGATCAAAAGGGGGCGGGGGGAGCAGGAGGGGTAATTGCCCAAAGGGAAATTAAGGTATTGATACCAGACAATGGAAGAATGGATGCTGTATGCAAAAACAACTAACAACTATGTCCTTTACACCTGACCAACTCTTATTCCCCCTTCAGGTCTCAGCATGCCTATTATTTCCACTATGAAGTTTTCCTGGCAATCCCAATGTCATCAATTCTAGACTAGTTCCCCCTGTTCTTTTTGCTATACCACTTGTACTTTCTCTATCACAGCACTTTTATACTGTGTTATAATTGCCTGTTTGCTTCTCTGTATTCCTGATTAGACTACAAAGGTTATTAAGGCAGAAATCTTGATTATCTCATTCACCATTACATCTCTAGTGTCTACCAGAGTGCCTAGTACATAAAAACATTTGATAAATATTTGCTGAGTGAATGAAAATCCACTGCTAATTGCACATTTGGAAGACGAATATAATTGAAAATGCTTTCAAGCGTATGAACCTGATAGGTACTACAGAGAGAATGGACACACGGGTTTCCTCCTACCACACCCATATCCTCATTAATTTCACTCCCTTCAGGGAGGACGAATTGATACATTGGTCAGAATCTAGAATATCCATGGGGCTACATTTACCAATATTCCTTAAAGATTAGCAACTTTATTTCACTCTCTTTTCTTTTTGCAGGTATAGACGGGGTTTGCCTCTTTTATGTAGAACTAGCCAGGTTTGTTTCTTTCCCATCCCCTTGAAATTTGCAACTGAATAGAAAGTTCTATCAGAGCTTACCTTGCAGATCTCAGTTCCTGAAAATGTATACTGATCTCAGAATTTAGAGTAAAGGTGGGGGACTAGAAGCCTCCATCTTATCTCAAGTCTAGAGCATGTGATCCATCATAGCTTGCAAGAAGGCCCTGAATGGGAAGTTCCTGAGCTCTCACATACCTATTAGGAAAGCAGTATTTTGTTTCTCATTTCCTAATGTTCTTTGTATCTAGTTTCCTCTTTGGGAAGGCCTATAAGTACAAATGTTCATGACATAGTGAAAGTTGAGTGCTTCTTCATTTTAGGATATAGGAGTGTCACAGATTCTACACTAACCTCACAAATACTCTAACCTCTCACTGATTCCTAAGAGGCACCAACTCACACAGCACTTCCCATTTCTTCATACAACCTCTCAACCAGCATAAATGAGATTCTTCTGTGAGCAGAAAACTATAGACAAAGTGGGTCTGGCCTGAAAAAGAGATTGTCCAATTCTTACACAGTGCTGGTTAGTCTTGGTATTATGTTTTTAGTGCCAAGTACAGTGTTTTTGATAGGAACCACAACTCTGCTCCCATTGAAATACAGAGAACCATGTGGGGAACACCTCACATTTGCAGGGATAACAGATATAAGTGGGAGGGTTTTTGTATTTTAATTTCTTGAACTTTTCTTGGGGGGAGGGGACAGCTTTAGTGAAACTTCATTAAGCAACTCCTGGGTATGGATTTGAGAGGCATTACAATTTTTTAGGCGCCTGATAGCTATCAATTGATTAATTCAACAATATTTACTGAGAAATTCCAATGAACTAGGCCTTTGCTAGACTCTGGGGATGCAAAATAAGTAAGGACCTCCTAGAGGAGTTCACATTCAGGTGGAGACCAAGGACACCCAAACAAATAGTTAATGATATAACGTTATGCTGGGAAATAGACTCAACTGGCCTCTGCCCAGATTGACTTGCCTTATAAAATCCTGCAAATCTTTTAAGGCCAACTCAAATCCTGCTTTCTTAAGAATCCTTCAGTGCTCAATTTAGTCAAAACAAATCGCTTTCATCCCTCTTACCCTTTAGTTTATATATTAATTAACATTTATATTTATGTCTCTTTCTCTCATTTGATCCTGTATTCTTGAAGGACAGAAGCTGTATCTTAGCCACACTTATATTCCCCAATTTGGCCAGCATGGTCTTTTCATGTAGTAAATACTGAATGTTTGTTAACTTGAAATAAACTTTATTATATTAATCATATTAGTTTTCATGGCATTTCCAAATACATGGTTCCTCTGTTATAGAACACAAAGGGCAATAAATATAATATATTTATAGTTAATAGTTTTAGTTTTGGTGAGAAATTATTTGCCTGGACTCTAAGAAAAGAGTACATGAGGGTTTTAATTTTAGTATCATTATAGTACACGTATGTTGTTTCCATTGCAAATAAGGGAAATACATAGATTTTTAGACATTATTTGCTATCATTTAAAATTTAGAAAGATGGTTAGTCCGAGTGCAGTGGTGTTTACAACTAATTGATCACAACCAGTTATAGATTCTTTTGTTCCTTCTCCACTTCCACTGCTTCACTTGACCAGCCTTTAAAAAAAAAATTAGAAACAGAGTAGAACTTCAGAAAATTTGAATACAAGTTATCCTGTAATGTTAATGAACAGAATATTTTGACCAATTATTTATTATTGATTGTATTTGGGACATTTAGATAGGAGTTACAGTGTAGGAAAGCTGGAATATCAGAAATAGGTGTTGAGATCAAGTGAAAAAAAGTTGGTGTCAGAGATAGGAGTTGAGATAATAGAAAATAACGTTGGAGATGTGGGGGTGAGCATGCCATGAGCCTTGAATGAGAGGAAAAATTCAGCACCAGATATAATATTAATATATTAATATAACAGGAGGCCATTGAAAGTTCCTGGTGAGATGAGTAGCTGACTGTAGTTATGGCCCTTTAAGCTCATCTCTCTGGGCCTCAGTTTAAAGTGAGGTTTATCAGGAGACAAACAGTTCCATGAAGAATTCTGTAGGTTTTTAAAAAAATCGAAATTAATGGCTTTTTAAAAAATAAAATGATAAAAATATGTTTTGGGAAAACAGAGTATAAAATGGGTTAGAAGGAAGAGATCATGAAGACAGGAAATCCAATTAGGAGCAGCTCTATTTGTTCCAGAAAGAGGAGATGAAGGCAGACATAGGATGGAAGGAAGAAGGGACAGGAAGTGAGAGTGGCAGACAACTGAAGCAGTTCCATCTGCCAAGATGCCAGGTTTCCTCTGAAAGTCTTTTCATTTGCCAGTGATTCATTCTGTGCTGAGTTTTCTTTGGACTTCATTTTCCATTTGTTATTACTGATTACAATAATAAAGGACTGATTTAGCACCTTCACCATATGTTAAGGCCTGGTAAACAAACATAAATGACAAAGATGTTTCTTCTTTGAAAAATTCTTTGTGATTTTAATTTTTCACACACTCATGAAATATATCTGAAAGGGTTGGTGATTAGGATAATTTAGTATTATTGTTTTTCAACATATTCATTTGGATTTTGAGCATATTTAGATGTGGAGTATGCTAGTCAGAGTACTACGGTGTAAACGATTTCTTCAGTACTTTGCAATAGTTTCCATACAGTGACTAAAAATCATGTTTATAGGTGCCTAAGCCAGAGGATTTTGATCTTTGGTACAGAAAAGCAAGTTTGCAATCTAAAATAGTACCTGAAGAGATGGATCTTATACCTTATAATGAAAGTGAGGCAATAGGAACTGAAATTTTCCTACAGTATTTGTAAATTTTACTTTTTAATACCAGATGGGGTTAACTTGCTAGAAATCTCTGAACTATAGTTCGTATAAGGTAAAATTTTGAGGTTTATTTCATTTTAGTCCATTCCTTAATTTTCAGAAAACAAAAGATATTGAAATACATGGATAAAAGGACAATATTCAAGACAATACTAAACAACCAGCTACATTCCATTTTGGAGTTAGATTTTAAAAAAGACAAGTTGTTAAAATCTGATTGCTCTTCTAGTTTAATATGTCAGAGAAATAGAATCTCTGGATTCTAAGAGAGCTGAAACTATTTTCAAAAAATTATTGTTTCATTATTCATAGTCCACTGAAAACATGCTTAAAGCCTAACATTTTCCTGGTACCCAGATATGAGATGATAATATTCAATAAAATATGAACCTGAGAAGAATCTAAACAAATATTGGCTTTGCCAATCTTACAAAATATTTCCCCCCCTTTGCTTGGGTTCGTAGGACATCTTTCTGCCATTTTCCTTGAGTTGTGAATGAGTCATCTGAAACACACAAACTGTGGTGTAAATGAATAGTGTTACTTAGATAAGGTATAAATTAGGCAAGTCGTAAACTTTGGCATTTCAAGATTCCACAGCTTATTATTAGTTCATCTTTATTTCTTCTCCATTCCAAAGCCAGTACTTTTTTTCCACACTGAGATCCAGGCTTAATTTGGAATAAAATTGTCCAGAAATCTATGGAAATTTGCTTTCCTGGAATCTGCTCTTTTTTTTTTTAAAGGTTTAAAATGTATTTTAATAAGTTGATGCTGCATTACTGCTCCATTTCTCAGAAAAACTTCAAATTTAAGGTATCAGGGACAAATCAAACATGGTACACCAATAAAAAATGCACAGCATAACTACCTAAGATAGGCAAGGCTAAGAGCTACTGTCAGACTTTCAGCATACAGCAACCCTGTTCCCAAGATTGTACTAGGCCTATCAAAAAAAGCTGTGAACAGCAACATCATAGACACAAAAGGGCCATTCCTGGGTCATCTTTACCCAAGAAAAGGATGGAGGCAAGTTAACACCAGATTTTTTTTTAAAGATATACTAAAATGAAAATCTCTAAGAGAAAATGTCTTCCTTAAAGACATTAAGGGTAATATATGGGATATAACAGAACCGTATGTACGCTGTCTGTGACCTCTGTGGACATTTGCCTGAATTCTCACCTGGGAGTAAATGGAGCAATGGGCTAAGGTCATTGGGGGATTTTGTGGTGTCATGTGGCAGTGTCTCTGGGATAGGGGGTGTAAGGATAAGAAAACAAAACAGGATGGACAAAAACCGGAATGATCAAGATTAATAGGGCTCTAACTGGATCCATTTTGCCATGGTTCCCCCAGGCCCTCAACAATCTCATTTGAGACTTCAGGAATGCACCACATAGAACTGATTAGTTAAACAACATACCACACAGAACTGATTTGTTAAATACCACCCCTCCCCTGCCCTCTGCCTCCAGCATACCCCCTAGAGTAGTACAGGCAGGGTAGACCTAACTATTAGGAGGAATCCCTAACACTTTTACAGGGTAGAATTCTGGCTAGTCCAAAAAGGGTCCTTCTTTTAAGGGTTTTGAGAAACTAGACACTGCAACTTTATTAGTATCAGCGACGTTTGTTTGGAGCAAATTCAGCTCCAGGAGCTGCATGGTTGAATGCAGGAGGAGTTCCACCAATTGCCCCAACTCCTTCCATTGTAAGCAGCTTGGCCAAAGCATTCAGTTGTTGGTGGGGTCAATCCCAAGGTTCCATCCGGCATCATAGTGGCAGGTCCTGGAGGAGCTGGGGTACCAGCCGGCACAGGAGCAGGGGGCATGGCACCTCTGTTGTTTATGACCATAGCACCTCCCATGGCCATCTGGCCCATCCGTATCTTCTGTTCTCTCGCATCAGGGAAGGTTACCTCGAATCCTTCCTGCTGTCGCCGCATCATTTCTTCCTGTTGCCTCCTTATCTCTTCCTCACGGCGCCTGAGCTCCACCTCCTGCCTGAGCTCCAGTTGCTTTCGTTTTTGCACCTCTTGGTTGTGCAGCTCTTCCATCCTCCAAAGTTCTTCTTGGCGCCTCATTAAATCCTGTCTCATCAGCATGACCTGGTGCTCATGGCGAGCAGCCTCCATCTCCATCTCCAGCTTCTCATGAGCCTCCTTGATGTTACGGTCCACTTGGTCCTGCTGCTGCTTCTCCATTTCAATGAGTGCCTTCCAGCGCATGGCATACTCATACTCAAAGGAGCCAGGCTGTGCAAATCTGGGTGGCTGCTCTCGCTCCTTGTGAAATTGCTGGTTCTTTATAACCAGCTTCTCTGGAAGTCCCTCTTCATCATCTAACTGGTCCATGGGCTCCACAGTCACAGGATGAGGAAATGTGCTGCTGCTGCTGGTGGTGCGGGTGGTGCTGCTGGTGGTAATGCTTCCTTGGAGTGTGGTTTTGCTTCTCCAAGTTAAAAGTTTTATTGCTCTGCATTTTTGCACCCTCAACTTCGATTGAAGTCAGCAAAGTGCTTCCCAGGCCCCTCTAACCTCGACTTCTCTACGGACTGCTCTCTCCTCGGAGTCTGCTCTTAAAAATATTCCAGAATGTAACATTTTCAGAGATAAACAGTCTTAGGTCCTATTTCCTTTGGCTTTAATTCAAGTTTTTCCTTTTGCTGAATCTACTATTTCTCTTAAAATGGCAAGCATTTTAATACACTTTCTTATAATTCTTTTGCTAGCTCTTCCAATCCTCCCCACCACTTTCCCTGAAAGGACCAACTATCTTATTTCATCTTGGAATCCTATTATATTCTTCAGAAACCAGAGGAACATACATTTTAGCATCTTAAATTTCACAGTTACCACAGGCCAAAGGACTCCAATGAACATTACTTCCACACCTCAATTTGCATTGTACCACTTGCTTAAAAACAGGCACTCTATCCAGGCCACTCTAGTAATTTTCCAAGTCAGCATAGGTTAAAATACTATCAATTCAAGATTCTACTCTGCTGTACTCTTTCTTCATGGGATAGCATTTGGACCTAGAGGAGATTTGGATCTTAGGCATAGGCAGGAGGACCGAAGGTGAGTTGGTGGTCCCTGACAACATTTATGTAGTGTCTGTTGCTAACATATAATCTGTCTTCTACCCCTGGGTTTTGCATTGTGAAAACTCTGGTAAGGAAAGAATGTAGTCTCTTTCCTTGACTCTGCCAGGGGTGATACATAAAAGATTTAACCCCACATCCCCCAGCTGGTGACTGAAACATCAGACGCTTTTCAATGTAAGTTTCCTCACTTCTTTTAAAGAACTTTCTAGTGAGTAGCAGCTCTCACCTTCAGGAAATTTTACATTCTATATGTGGGCATAAAATTTCTTCACCTTTTGTTAGTTACCAGGAAAATTCAGGAGGGAACTATTCTCAGGCCTCTTCATATTTATTATTCTGTTACCTACCTGCTCTCTCCATATTCAGGTGGTAAGAGGAATATTGCAAGAAAGGAAATTGTTCTCAAAAACCAGCTGGAAGTTGGGTCTGGCTCTCAAATTTCAAAAGGAAGTTTTTCTTTGTGTTACCTATTCTCCATTCTAAATTCCCAATTATTTAAGCACATAATTCTTTTCTCCATTCTCTGCTATCAGAGATTTTTTTTTTCTTTTCTTTTTGTATAAAGAAGGTAGGGGAAAGTAAGAGAAAAAAATTGGTTCAGCTGAATGGATGGTAACCATTTTTGAATTCTCTACCTCACACCTAAATCCTTGATTGTTTACCAAAAAAAACCCCTCTCCCAAATTTGGTGTCTTTGTTCACTGCTCTTGGCAATGTCTTTCCCATCCATCAAAGGGACTCACATGCTTCAGTATTCAAAGGAGAGGAATCCTAAAGGAGAGGTACATGCTGATTAGTATCATCGAAATGTATACTTTGGCCCCAGCTGAGATTTATGATGGAATCAAGCAAGATTTTGGATGGAGATGGTGATGATAGCAAAGAAACATCACAGGATTTAGCTAAATGTCTAATAAGGTAAATGCTTCTCTAGAAGGATAATGAGTTTCAGCTGTACTTTGGTCTGGTTAGGAGAAAATTAGTGTTGTTTTTTCAGAACTAAATTGTGTCTCATACTTAAAAAATGTTAACACAGTGGGAGCTTCAGATCAAAGAACTGGGACATCATTTTGCATAGAATGCCAGAGCAGATTCTACCTACAGAATGGCAGAAAAACTGTTTTCACGAGTGGATACCATAAATCCACTTGGTACTAATAGCATGCAATGAAAACTCTTTTCGGAAGAGAGATTTTGTGCACAAAGAGCCCCGAGGGAAGAGATAGCAATGGAAACATCCATCAAGTAAAGAAAGGGTGTTTAGAAAATTGCTCTTCCAGCTCCATCCATCATACTATCAGAGACTGCTGTGTTAATCCATTTACCACCATTAAGCGTGAGCACAAAAACAAAATGCATAAGTATTCCTTTGGGGAGACCTTTCAACAAAACTTCTGTGGAGGCTAATGTGGACAATAGGGAGTTCTGCATGTCACATCCAAGGAGTATTGAGTGCAACTTACACACCAACATGCAGGTGGTTTTTCAAATATAAGTCACCTCTTAGTTTTTCTAGGAAACATTTTTTTTCTTCCCTCACAGCACAAGTTTTGATTTATGAATACATGCTGTAAGTCCATTCCTGCATCTTTAACGGCATATGAACTTGCTATTACCCCGAGAGTCAAAAACAAAATAAGGTCTTACTTCTCTGAATGCCACTTTGGTTTATCAGCTTTCATGTATAAAAAGGGGGTGTTAATTAGACATACTGCAATGATTATAGAAAAACTTTTATAATATTCCTTTCTTAGAGTTTATCATTGTCCAAAAGAAGAAAAGCAAATGCCAAGTGCTTACTATGCTATTAAATGTTATCTATTTCAATATTAATACCTTGATAATGGAAATAATTCCATTTGTTTTACAGTGCTTTTCTTTTTGTAATAGTTCTTTCACACCTTTTATTTCATTTGATCCATTTATATGAATGTTCTGAAAGTTAAACACTTCCTAACTCTATCAACTAATTGCTTGTTCAAATATCTGAATAAATCTATTTTGGGGAAGATATTTGAAATTATAAGATAAAAACAACTTTTAGACACATTGTGCTCTGGCCTCTTCAATGGAGCCTTAGTCATGTGTGATAATGAGTCAGAGAGGAAGACACTATGCCTTAAGAAATGATCCAGAGTGCAACAGCTGCTTTGGAGAGCAAAATGGCTGGCAATGTCACACCATTAAAAAGGGTAATTTCCCATAGAGATTAGTATAGACAAGTTACTCATTTAATTATAAGATAAATTCTCAGGAAATAAATTTAGTTTTAAATCTCTTCAGGAAATTGGTAGCCTACTAAAATTCACCTGTAATAATAATCTGAATATACTATGTTAGTGTTTTCAACTTTTTTGAATATAACCTGTTTTTAATAAAATATTACATAGATATAATAATACATGTAGCTTTATGATTTGGTAACTGGGAGAACTGAAGGAACCACACATTTTTAATACATTTAGCAATATGTTTATAATAATTTATATTTAAATAATCACACCATAATTTACATACATTTTGGCTAAAATTGCCTATATTTATAGCTATGCTTGGTTAACAAATATATATATATATTTTAAATTTCAAAATATTAAGGGAGTATAAGTGTTTTAGGTTACATGAATCACTTTTGTCATGCCTGAGTCCTGGCTCTAGGTGTGCCTGTTACCCAAATAGTGTTCATAGTACCCATTAGGTAGGTTTTCCTTCTCTACTCTGCCCCCCCCCATTGGTTGATTTCCACTGAGTTTTACTTACCTCGGGGCACATCTGTGCTCATCAGATAGTTCCGATTTAATAATGAGTACATGTGGTATTTGTTTTTCCATTCTTGAGATACTTCACTTAGGAGAATTGTTCCACTCAAATTGTTGCAAAAGCTATTTATTTGTCTTTTTTATGGCTAAGCAGTACTCCATGGAAAATATATACCACATTTTATTAATCCACTCCTGAATTGATAGGCACCTGGGTTGATTCCACATCTCTGCAATTATGAATTGTGCTGTAATAAACTTTCAAGTACAGGTATCTTTTTGATGAAAAGTTTTCTTTTCTTTTGCATAAATGCTCAATAGTGGGATTGCTGGATCAAATGGTAGTCTACTTTTAGTTCCTTGAGGAATCTTCATACTGTTTTCCATAGAGGTTGTATTAATTTGCACTCCCACCAACAGTGTATAAGCATTCCTGTCTGTCTGCATCCACACCAGCATATATTGCTTTTGGACTTTTTAATAAAAGTCATTCTGACTGGGATAAGGTGATATCTCATTGTGGTTTTCATTTGCATTTCCCTGATGATTAATGGCATTGAGCATTTTTTCATATGTTTATTGGCTATTAGTCTATCTTCTTTTGAAAAGCTTCTGTTTGTGTCTTTTTCCCACTTTTTAGTAGGGTTGTTTGTTTTTATCCTGCTGATTTGCTTTAGTTCTTTGTAAATCCTGGTTATTAGCCCTTTATCAGATGTGTAGCTTGTGAATAATTTCTCCCATTCAGTAGGCTGTCTATTTGCCCTGTTGATTATTTCCTTAGCTGTTCAGAAGCTTTTTAGTTTAATCAAATACCATTTACTTATTTTTGTTGTTGCCATGATTGCCACTGGGGCCTTATAGTATAGTTTGAAGTCTGGTAATGTGATGCTTCTAGATTTGTTCTTTCTGCTTAAGATTGCTTTGTCTATTTCGGCTCTTTCCTGGTTCCAAATGAATCATAAAATTATTTTTTCTAGATCTGTAAAGTATGATTTCAGTAATTTGATGGGGATTCCATTGACTTTGTAAATCACTTTGGGTAGTACAGACATTTTAACAATGTTGATTCTGCCTATCCATGAGCATGATATGTTTTTCCATTTGTTTGTATCCTCTGCAATTGCTTTCCTCAGAGTTTCATAGTTCTCCTGGTAGAGATCTTTCATCTCCTTGGTTATATATATTCCTAGGTATTTTATAATCTTTGTAGCTATTGTGAACAGTATTCAGTCTTTGATTTGCCTCTCAGGGTGACTGTTATTAGTATATAGAAATGCCACTGATTTGTGTACATTGATTTTGTATCCTGAGAATTCACTAAATTTATCAATTCCAGGAGACTCTTGGTAGAATCTTTGGGGTTGCCTTGATACAAAATCATATCGTCAGCAAAGAGAGATAGTTTGATATCCTCTGTCCTGCTTTGGATACCCTTAATATTCTTCTCTTGCCTGATTGCTCTGGCTAGGACTTCTAGCCCTATGTTGAATAGAAATGGTGACAGGAAATATCCTTGTCTTGTTCCAGTTCTTAGGGAGAATGTTTTCAACTTTTCCCCATTCAGTATGATGTTGCCTGTGGGTTTGTCATACATGGCTTTTATAATTCTGAGATATGAGCCTTCCATGCTTAGTGTATTGAGAATTTCTGTCATGAAAGGGTGCTGGATTTTGTCAAATGCTCTTTCTGCATCTATTGAGATGATCATATGGTCTTTGTTTTTACTTTTGTTTATGTGGCAAATCACATTTATTGAATTATATATGTTGAACCATCCTAGCATCCCTGGGATGAAGCCCACTTCATCCTGGTGGATTATTTTTTGATGTCCTGTTGAATTTCATTTGCTAGTATTTTACTGAGGATTTTTACATCTCTATTTATACAGAATATTGGTCTGTAGGTTTTTTGTTGTTGTTGTTGTGTCCTTTCCTGGCTTTGATATCAAGGTGATACTGGCTTTGTAGAATGAGTTGGGAAGGATTCCCTCCTTTACAATATTATGGAGTAAGTTCTGTATTATGGGTACCAGGACTTCTTTGTAGGTCTGATAGAATTTGGCTGTGAATCCATCTATTCCAGGGCTTTTTGTTGTTGTTGTGGGCTGTTTTTTAAATCTTACTGTTTGTTATTAGTCTGTTCAGGAGTTCTATCTCTTCCTGGTTGAGTCTTGGAGGTTATGTGTTTCCAGGAACTAGTCCATTTCCTTCCTATATGTCCTTTAGTTTATGGACATAGAGATTTACATATTATTCTTGGATGATGGTTTGAATTTCTGCAGTATCAGTTGTAATGTCACCTTTTTCATTTCTGATTGAGCTTATTTGGGTCTTTTCTCTTCTGTTCTTGGTTAATCTACCAAGAGGTCTGTCAATTTTGTTTATCTTTTCAAAGAACCAACTTTTTGTTTCAGTAGTTCTTTGTATTTTTTTATTGTTTTCCAATTCATTTAGTTCTGCTCTGACCTTATTTCTTTTCTTCTGCTGGCCTTGGGTTTGGTTTATTCTTCCTTTTCTGGGTCCTTGAGATGTGACAATTTGTGATCTTTCTGTCTTTTTGATGTAGGCATTTAAGGCTATGAGTTTTCCCCAGAGTAATGCT